AAAAAAAAAAAAAAAAGAGATTAAATAAAAAAATAGATCAGATACCACATTAAGTGATTTCTGGAGATAGTTATAATATCAGATCCCAGTTGACAGGTTCTATGCACAGAACAATTTAACTCTATTCTCAGACTAATTTAAATGACAGAAATTTTTTAAAAAATTACATCTCTGCTCATGCCTATCTATAATCCCAGCACTTGGGACTGCAGGATTGTTTGCTTGAGGCCAGGAGTACAAGACCAGCCTGGACAAATAACAAGATCACATCTCTAAAAAAACATAAACAAACACAACAAAACAGAAACCTGTACACCCCTCCCCCCCCACACATATACATATGAGGAAACTTAACTGTGTAGAACAACGGAAGGGGAAGGGAATTAACAGGTTCAGCTACTAACAGTTATATGTACTGAATATAAGGCTGGGATTTCTAAGTAAAGAAATGGAAGGGGCATGACAGAGCAAGCACAAAAAGGCTCCCAGAGCCATTATGTACAAACCATGTGTAGAGGCAAAGGTCAGGGTGCCGTCATTCATTCTAGAGGTTTGATAAATATCTCCGGTCCACAGGACTTTTGGCCTAACATTATAGTATGCAATGTTTTCTCCCTTATATATAGATAGCCTTGGTCAAAAAGCAAGGAAACTTGTGAACATCTGAGGACGCAGCAGCCTCTGTATTTCCCAGGGGCCAGCTCCTTTTTTTCAACAAGTCAGGGCTGAATGTGAGTGTGTTCAGCTGCCATGCAACGTGTTCCTTCCCAACTATGTGATACCCAAGTTTTCCTGCATGGGGAAGAACAGAAGGATGTATTCCACAACCTCTCACAGAACCAGATAACTCCGAATTGGACTGGGTGTGAAAAATAAACGAGGAACAAAGCTGTCCACATGTCTGATATGCGGACTCTCTCAGCTGTGCAGAAACTTTCCAAGCTCTTCATGGCTTCCTCCCAGGCTCAAAAATCTATGACAGAGTGTGGGGCAGTCTCACCTCCACATCAGTGCTGAATGATTAGTGTCAAGTGTGTCTCATGCCAGGGCACCCAGGAATCTACTGCAATGATTCATTCATCATTCTGCTATGCAAGAAATTTAAGACAAGTTTCCCAGTTTTTGAGGAGCTGATCATTCACTTGGGGAGAAGATATATGGCAAGTGCTCTGTCTATAGTGTGGATCAGAAAAGCTCATCCATTCCAAATGGGCTTGAGCCCAGAACAAGACAATTCAACACAGGAAGAATTCATGACTGATTTCAAGTTACCCAATGAACAGCTGTGGGTTTTCTGTCTTAGAATCTTATGGCCAAAGATGCCTGGCCCTCAGTAACGTTAGCACTGTAAACTAACCAGCTATCATGGGGAATCAAATCATGGCCACTGCGGTCAATCCTGACATTAATTCCATTCTTAATTATGTCCATTTTTATGCATCTAAGACCAAGAAGCCAAAAAAGATAAGAAAGTTTCTAATAAACATCCGATTAACTCACACATTAAGTAAGTGCAGGTAGTAAGCGTAGTGCAAAGAACCCTGGATTTGGGTGGGTGATCAGTGAGGGCTTTTTGCTCTGAAGTTAAGGACAAGTCACAGAATCTCAGCATCTATCTCCTTTGCTGTAAAAGGGATACATGTTACCACCCACCTAAGACTGAAAGAATGAAAATGAAAACTATTAAACTAGTATCAGAGTTCTTAAATGGGTTAGGTCATAATCATTCATCTGTTCAGCATTTTTTTTTTAACACCAACTGCTCACAAACTTCTGAATGTCCAGAACTTGCTGAAACATTTACATCATTTTTCATTCATGGAAACAGCAGGTTAAGCCTGGGCAACATGGTGAAACGCCCTCTCTACAAAGAAATGCAAAAAAATTAGCTGGGTGTGGTGGCAGGTGCCTGTAATCCCAGCAACTAGGGAGGCTGAGGCACAAGAACCGTTTGAACCCCAAGGTTGCAGTGAGCTAAGTTCACACTGCTGCACTCCAGTCTGGGGACAGAGCAGGACTCTGTCTAAAAAAATAAAAATTAGCCAGGCGTGGTGGCCTGCATCTGTAGTCCCAGCTACTTGGGAGGCTGAGGTGGAAGGATGGCTGGAGCCTGGGGAAGTCGAAGCTACAGTGAGCCGTGATGGCACCACTGCACTCCGGCCTGAGCAACAGAGTGAGACCCTATCTCAAAAATACAAATAAAAAAGGGCAGGTTAGTGTTTCGCCATATTTAATACTAACAGTATAAAAAGACTATACACTGCTCTAGGCCATCTTTTGGGTCATAATCATTTAAACCTCAAAGTCTGTATCTGCATCTAACATGAATGAACTGTGCTAATGCCTGATTAACTCAAGAAGCCAACTCAAAATCACCACATTAAGTACTGAACTGAGGGAGTTCAATTGTCCTACCAAAAGTCACGCAGTAGAGAGAAGGCCAGAAGCCATGGAGATTCCTGCGTGGTGGTGGTGACCTTGAGCTCTATTTATCTCTGTGCATTTCACAGGACATCTTAGGACAACGTCTCACACACAGTGGGTGCCCAATTAACCTCTGAAACACCATCCAGGGTCTCAGAAGGGTGCCTGATGCTCAGCCTGATACTCTAGTGCAGGTATACCATAAAGATGAAACACTTCTCAGCTACAATGATTAAATAAGAAGGTATAGCACACACTAATCAGGTACAAGACGTGACAGTTACCTTAAAGGTCACCAAGTGCTGAGTACTTAGTAAAACACTATACAAATGAGGACTTCGAGGCCAGACCGGAGGGAGGCGGGGGTGTGCTCTGGCGAGGCCAGGACTCAGACAGCGTGGGAAGTGGGCAGAGGTGGCGGTCAGTAACCGCGGGCAAAGTGAGCGTGGTTTCAGGCAGGGAAGGCGGGGTGTGCGCGGCGTGGAGGGGGGAAGTGAGGACTACTCGAGGAGGGCGGCCCGTCCGCGCTGCCGGGTGGTCGAGGCCGGCCCCTTACCCGGACGTCTGGCCCCTCCACCAGCTTGAGGGCCTGCGCCTCGAGCAGGTCTGCCCGCAGCTGCACCAGGAAGCGCACGCCGCCGTCTAGCTTGCTGATGTGGTGGAAGAGCCCGCGGTAGCGCGGCACCAGCGCGTAGCGCAGCCGATCCTCCGCCTGCAGCAGCACCGCGGCCTCCCGCTGCTGCTGGCGCAGCTGGAGCACGCCGGCGCTCTGCTCGGCCACCTGGCCATGGTCCACGCCGAAGCCCCGCGCCAGGCGGCCCAGCAGCTCGGCCCGCTCGGCCGTCTCGGCCAGGCCGCCGTAGAAGCTCACGAAGTCCACGCACTGACCCTCGGCGGGCGCCGGCGTCTTCTCGCGCAGCTCGTAGGCCGGCGTCGCCGGCACCACGCGGCGCAGCAGCTCGTCCATGGCCCGCTCCAGGGCGCCGGCCGCCGGCCCGCTCATCAGCCGGGGCCCGGGCGGCCGCGGAGGGAACCGCAGCGGGAGGAGACGCCTGGCAGTCAGACCTGGCCGGAGGCCTCGCATGGCGCCGGACGACAGCTGTCCAGGGGGAGCGCCGCCGACGCTGCCGCGCTTCCGGCTTCCGGCACGCGCCGGCCCCATTGGCCGAGGCCGGGGGCCGGGCGGGGAGGCGGCCAATCAGAGGGCAGGGTGGCGGGGCGGGGCGGCTCTGGCGGTGGCTCCGGGCCAAGTGTGGCCAAAGGTTACCGCCTGGCGGTGGGGCGGCCTCGGGGCCTCCGGTTCAGCTGGTCGCTTGTCCTCCGGTCTTAACACCTGGCCGCCTAAAGGCACCGTCCCCTCCTCTCTTCCCCGACTGCACTGCACCAGTGCCTCCTCCTCCCTAGATCCGAGCACCTCCAGCCTCCAGGTGCATCACAGTCGCCCGGGAGCTCCTGCACTGGAGGATTCCTGGGCTCCCAAATCAGAATCCGAGACATTCAGATTCAGTGTGTCTGGGAGGAGCCGAGGAATCTGCGTGCTTAAAGGTGTTTGTGGCAATCCTCTGGCAGGGTAGCCGTTGTTTGACCCCTGCCTAGGCACTCACCATTCGCGTCAGGGTCTTACACAGAGGTTGGAGGGGTGTGTGTGTGTGTATAGAGAGGGAAAATATGTCTATATGTATGCATGTATGCATATACACGTACGTATACATACACACATACGTATGTATGTGAGAGAGAGCAAGAGAGACTGATGGAAAGCCATACCCTTGAGCAAAGGCCAGGATGACACAAAAAGTTTTCTTTGAAATAGTTCTCAGATAATTGCAGTTATCAACAGATTTATTTTGTCCTCTGGAAAGTTAGGCCTGAACTCAATTTGTCTCTCCTTCCCCAATCCATTACAATTTGCAGAAGAGAATGTCACATACCATGTCTCCCACGTGCAGAATTACAGGAGGTATTAGGAACGCAGTGGGATTTTGTTCCACTCAGATGGAAATACGGAATCTTTGGTTGGAGGCTGAGGGAGCCATGTACTTGGCTATGTCTAGGTGCTAGGATTTCTATAGGTAGAACGCTTTGGTGCAGGTATTGGAGTATAAAGACACTGAGAGGTAGTTCTGTATGAGCACAGCATTTGCTGAGTGTGTCTCATGGGGTATGAAGAAACTACATCTGGCTCATTCTGCCAAGACACAGACACACAAAGCATTCTGAAGGCCTACTGGTGGCTTTTGAGCACACCTCTCCGTTCCTCTTTTCTTTCCTTTTTTTTCCTCTGAGACAGAGTCTTGCTCTGTTGCCCAGCCTGAAGTGCAGTGGTGCTATCTCGGTGCACTCTGCCTCCCAGGTTAAAACAATTCTCCTGCCTCAGCCTCCCAAATAGTTGGGACTACAGGCGCCGCGTGCCACCACACCTGGCTAATTTTTTGTATTTTTAGTAGAGACTGGATTTCACTGTGTTAGCCAGGACGGTCTTGATCTCCTGACCTCGTGATCTACCTGCCTCGGCCTCCCAAAATGCTGGGATTACAGGCGTGAGCCACCGCACCCTGCCTCCGTTCTTCTTTTCTAAGAAGTGGTGAAACCATATTGCCAGCTGGCTAAGCGAGTCTGTCTGGTTCAAACTGGTGGTCTGTTTTCCTTGTTGGGTGAGCTCTTGTCTAATCCTAGAATACTCCTGCCTTGCTTTAGGAATCTTGTCTTGAAAGCTTGACTTTGCTTAAGCCTTTGTCAGGTGTAGTACCCCCACAACCCTGCTCTTTCTCAACTTTCCCAGTGCCTTCTTTTTTACACAATTTCTGGCTCCTGCTCTTTTCCTCTGTGTTTATACTTGTTTTTCTCTAGGTGTCAACAGCCTCCCTCTGCTTTTTCCCACTCATGTCCTTATTTCAAAAGACTGCCCCAATCCAAAAATGAAATTAAGGAAACAATTCTATTAACAGCAACATCTAAAAGAATAAAATAAACATGTTAAACCAGGCAAGTGTGAGGCTGGTAGGTGGAAAACCACAGAACAGTATTGAAGGAAATTAAAGACCTGAACAAATGGAATGGTCCACCCATGGCTCATGGATTGGAAGGTTTAATACTGTTAATATAGCTAACAGGATTTGGATCTGTGTCGCCACCAAATCTCATGTCTAATTGAAATCCCCAGTGTTAGAGGTGGGGCCTGGTAAGAAGTGACTGGATCATAGGGACAGAGTTCTCATAAGTGGTTTAGCACCATCCCCCCCTTGGTGCTGTAGAGTGAGTTCTCATGAGATCCGGTTGTTTAAAAGTTGCATCACCACCCCCTCTCTTTCTCTTGCTCTGGCCATGTGAAGCTCCTCACTCCCCCTTTGCCTTCTGTCATGAAAGGAAGCCTCCTGAGGTCTTCCCAGAAGCAGAAGTCACTATGATTCCTGTACAGCTTGTGGAACTATGATCCAATTGAACCTCTTTTCTTTATGAATTACCGAGTCTCATGTATTTCTTTATAGCAGTGTGATAGAATGGCAATACTCCCGAAATTAACCTATATATTTAATACAATCCCTATTATAATTTCAGTTGCCTTTTTTTTTTTTGGCAGAAATAGAAAAACACATTCTAATATATATACAGAAATGCTAGGGAGCCTGAGTGGCCAGAACAATCTTTAAAAGGAAGAACAAACTTACTACAAAGCCATGGTAATCAAAATAATGTGGTACTGGCAGAAAGATAAAACACAAAATGAGTGGAATAACACTGAACATCCAGAAATAAACCCATACATCTACGGTCAATTGATTTTTTTTTTTTTTTTTTTTTTGAGATGGAGTCTCATTCTTTCACCCAGACTGGAGTGCAATGGCGTGGTCTGCAACCTCCACCTCTGGGGTTCAAGCAATCCTTCCACGTCAGCCTCCCAAATAGCTGGGACTACAGGCAAGTGCCACCACACCCCACTAATTTTTAGTAGAGATGGGATTTCGCTATGTTGGCCAGGCTGGTCTTGAACTCCTGACCTCATGATCCGCCCACCTCAGTTTCCCAAAGTGCTAGGATTAAAGGTGTGAACCGCCATGCCCAGCCTGGTCAATTGATTTTTGACAAGGGTTCTAAGACCATTCAATGGGTAAAAGAGAGTCTTCAACAAATGGAACATGGACAACTAGACATCTACAAACAAAGTAACAAACATGGATCCTGACCTACCTCATAGCATATGCAAGAATTAACTCAAAATGGATAAGATCTAAATGTAACAGCTAAGATTATAAAATCCTTAGAAGTGAAAATAAGTGTAACTCTTCATGACTTTGGAATAGGCAATTATTTCTTAAATATGACATCACAAGTGCAAACAACAAAAATAGATAACTTGGATCTCATTAAAATTAAAAACTTGTATGCATTGAAGGACACCAACAATTAACTGAAAAGACGAGCCACAGAGTGGGAGAAATACTTGAAAATCATATATCTGATAAGGGTCTAGCATCTGAATTATATAAAGAATTCCCACCACTCAACAATGAAAAGACAACCCAACTAAAAATGGACATAGGGGCTGGACGTGGTGACTCATGCCTGTAATCCCAACATTTTGGGAGGCTGAGGTGGGCGGATCACCTGCGGTCGGGAGTTCTAGACTAGCCTGGCCAACATGATGAAACCCTGTCTCTACTAAAAAAAAATACAAAAAATATCCAGAGGTGGTGGCAGGTGCTGTAATTCCAGCTACTCGGGAGGCTGAGGCAGGAGAATCACTTGAACCCAGGGGGCAGAGGTTGCAGTGAGCCAAGATCATGCCACTTAACTCCAGCCTAGCAAAAGAGCAAGACTCTACCTCAAAATAAATAAATAAAAGGACAAAGGATTGGAACAGACATTTCTCCAAAGAATCTGTGAATGTGCATATATGTAAGTGGCCAGTAAATGCATAAAAAGATGCTCAACATCATTAGTCATTAGGGAAATGTAGGCAAAGCCATGAGTTACCACTTTACATCCGCTAGGATGGCATGATAACAAGAGAAAAATAGATGGTGAGAATGTACAGAAATTAGAACCCTCATACTCCGTTGATGAGAACCTTAAAAAGTTAGAGAGTTACCAAATCGCCCAGTAATTCCACTCCTAGGTACCCAAGAGAATTGTGAACATACATTCACACAAAAACTTGTGCACAAATTTTCATAGCATGTAACTTATAATAGCCAAAAAGTAGAAACAACCCACATGTTTGTCAGTGGATGAATGGGGTACACCGAATGTGGTCTCTCCATACTGTGGAATATTATTCAGTCATAAACACAAATGAAGCACTGGCCCATGCTACAACATGATGAACCTTGAAAACACTATGCTGAGTGAAGGAAGGCAGTCATAAAGGGCCACATGCTGTATGAGTCCATTTATATGACATGTACAGAGAAGGCAAATCCATAGAGGCAGAAAAAAAGTAGCTATGTGACTGCCAGGGGCTGTGGGGTCAGGGATAGGGAGAGGGGGAAGATGGCTTATCAGCACAGTTTCTTATTGGGGGGCTGAAAACGTTCTGGAATTAGGTAGTGGTGATGATTGCATAACTCTGTGAATATACTAAAAACCACTGCTTTGCACACCTTAAAATGGCTAAAATGGTGAATTTTATGTTATGTGTATTTTACCTTAAAAAAAAAAAAAAAACACAAAACTACCCCAGAGGCATTAGTGTTTCTCTACCAGTTTCAGAGACTCAGTAGAGAGAATCTGATTGGTTCACTTTAGATCAGGTCTAGACCGGATGCAGGATAACACAGAGCCCTCAGAGATATTAAGGATTTACCCTTTTAGGTAGGGACACAGTGTTCAGACAAGAGGGATGTGGGCTAGGCAGCTGTCCCAAAAGATGTCTACTTTAAGTGTTTAAAAAATTAGGCTGGGCACAGTGGCTCACATCTGTAATCTCAACACTTTGGGAGGCCAAGGTGTGCAGATCACCTGAGGTCAGGAGTTCGAGACCAGCCTGGCCAACATGGTAAAACTCTGTCTCTATTAAAAACACAAAAAATTAGCTAGGCATGGTGATGCTGCCTGTAATCCCAGATACTGGGGAGGCTGAGGCAGGAGAATCACTTGAACCTGGGAGGCGGAGGCTGCAG